TGTATGACGTGAGTCATAACCGTCGATCGTATATAATTTTGAAAATTCCGGTGATCAATGTCAGGGGAGTGTACATTACTACTTATGTCTTTGCATAACTTTTCATTAGCGTGTAAGATGGTTAAGATGATTTGTTTGATAAAAAAAAAATAGTAAAGACTATTGTTGTATGCATTATAAATTGAGAGTGGTCAGGGAATTTTGATAAGCCTCTTCCGTACTGACGTCTTAACGCGTCTAGACATCAAATATGGCATATTTTACGCGTCACCTTATAATAAGTTTGGATAATTCCTTTTTTAGAAAATGTTAGCGAGAAATTCCATAATGCTTATCAACTTCAAAGCTTTGACGAAGATACTGTATCTTTACAAGACCTCAACCAATCGAATTCTACAAATTTTGCAAGCAAATTGACCAATCCTTTTTTTGAAATATTTGACAATTAGTGTATTAAATTTAATTGACAGTCTTTTCAAAAATATATATAACAATAGAATATTCAATCAATTTTAATGCACAAGAGATATCAAATAACATAAACTTGCAGAATTTCAAAATGTCTTTGAACATTATAATAGGCTAGGTCTTTATTGGAATATCTTAAATTTATAAAAAAAGACCTGAGCTATTAATGACTACTGTAATTTATTGCTCAAAGTGCGTGATATGGACTAATCGATATCATAAGTACAGAATTTTTGACGTATTTGAGTGATTCAACCACACTGATAAAAAATGGTCAGAAGTTAGTAAACGCTAATTGTAAACTGAGAAATTGAAAAAAACTCTAAATTTGCCAAGTCACAAATTCTAATCGTATTTAATAAATAGTATGTTAATTTTTTTTAAAAAATTACAAACCTGTTTAGACAACAAATACATAAACCTCAACCATTCAAGGATGAAAATAAATTTATTACCGAAGGATTAGTAAAAAATTTTGATGTTCTAAAGTCAGTAAAAAAAAATTACTGAACGACTACTAATAGCTGTTAATGCTAATTTATGTTGAATTTTTCTATAAAAATGTTGTCAATTATAACATGATGGTATGATTTAAAATAGATCTTTATAATGATTACAATAGTATTTAGAAATGTATCTACAAATTAGAAATAATTATTATTAAATAATAATTCATTGAAATATAAATTACAATCGAATTTTATAATTGTCAATATTAAATATACCTATATTCCTTAATTCTATGTAATTATAGAAAGTGTTACCCTACGGGCCCGAACATCATTGCGCTGGTATGAAGAAGTTGTCACTTCATGATTTTTAATATTTCTTTTATCCTTCTGTTTTTCCGCGTATCGTTTTAAAACTGTGTTGTGTAATTCGATATCCTCATCACAAAAATATGAAAATTGAACAATTGGCGCATCCCAGTTTTCCAAAAGAGTAGATAAACTCAATGCTGAAAAGATCCATCCAATTTCAAAATGCGTTAATTTCTTGAGTGCAACTAATTCCTGTAACGGTGGTAAAATTCCATCAGCACGATGAAGTTTTGTTTTATTGTATTCAATTATTAATTTTTCTAACGGTAAAGGAGTTTTTAACAATTCTATGAGGTTAATAACTCCGTCAAAGATCCGATTAATTTCTAGATTTGTGAGTTTTGGACAATATCTACTAATATCTTGAAGGATATCATTATATATATTCGTTGTGAGACCAAATGTTAACCCATGAAGATGCTTGCCGTTAATTGCTAAGAATGCCTTGGTATTTTCGATAAATGCCGGATCTTGCCAAGTGTAGAACATTGAAATTTCAAAGTTTCTAAGTTTAGGAAAATTTGTGTACCACAAAGGAATAAATGATTTGTAGTATTTTTTTTCTTGGAACGATAGATCCAATGTTTCAAGTTTGCTGCAATAAGTCAAGGACTTCATAGATTCTTGATCTCGAATGTATACATCTCTAAGTGAAACTTCTACTAACGAATCAACTTGTGTTTTAAGACACGATATAACCTTCGACATGTCTAATGTTATGTCGACTAATTGGAATCGTTTGAGTTTTTGTTGGTTTTTGATAAGTGTTTCTAACTCATCAATGAATGATGATTCATCGTCCATGTCCTCAATAATTATTGAAGAAAGGTTACGACTAAGTTCAGACAATCCGGATATAAATGTGCCGGTACACGTAGTACCATCCAATTCCAATGCAACAAGATGGGATAAACATGAAGCACCATTATACTTTGGCATATCATCCACGAAAAATCCATCGATTCCGAGATCACCAATACTAAGCTCTTTAATTTTTTTGGAATGACATATAAAAAGTTTACATAGCTGCTCTAACAAATACTCTTCTACTTCTGCCAGTTCCATACTATCTTCTTCGATCTCATAATTAAACATAGATCCATCATCCGAACTTTCTTCATCTGAACTCTCATCGTTGTCTGAAGTTTGTTCCTTTTCTTCAGTTGAATCGCTCTCGATACTCTCTATAGACTCATCATCGTCGTCGACATCATCATCATCATCATCGCTATCTTCATTATAATAGTCTTCGTTCTCATCTGAACTCCCTTCACACATAATTCCATTATCATCTGAGCTCTCATCTTCGCTACTTTCTGATGACTCGCTATCCTCTTCTTGATCTCCGATACCGGTCGTTTTCACCCATTCAACCAAAGCATCACCCAAAAATTCAAGATTAAACGATCTAAGGTAACTTGGGTAATTAAATGATCCTTTGACAGTTGGGACCGGTAACTTATGTAATTTTTCCAAATTCTCAGTTATATCAGGGGGGAAAAATGACATATATATAGGAATGATTTTGTAAAGTTGACGTTCGCTAATTCTGTAAGAAAATGGTTCGCTCCAAAGATATTGAACCGTGATTTTACACCACTTGCGATTCACCAGTAATGCAGAATGTTGGGTTTTAACGTCATATTTATCAATATGGGAAATTATATTCTCAAGTACTTCGATTAAATTTAATGCGTTGTTCATTGACGACTGCAAAGAGGAGTTACTTGTAAAATCACTAGGAATTGTAGGTGTCATCTTTATTTTCTTTATTTTTAACTATAGTTATCTATATATTAATACTGTAAGGAAAAATAAAAAAATATTAGAGGGCCGTTACGATTTGTTTACAAAAAAAGACACGTATTTGTAAAATATGAATTTTCGACCTTATAAAAATGCGCGACTAGAAAAATTACAAATGCAGGTGGAAGTAGCCCTTGTTGTCTACATATTTTTATCGACCTGATGAATCACGTGGAATATATCATAAGCATGGCCCACTCAATATATGTCAAGCGGTAAACTAGCCTTAACTTTCAATATAATCCAATCAATTTACTTATCGTCATGTTTTTGCTATTCGAGGCCGACTACACTTTTCAAAAAAAAAAAAAAAAAACAAAAAAAAACGTGGCATATTTCCTAATTGTGATTAAAATAGACTGGAATCGCCTAATCGTTTAACCGTTTAATTCAGCCAGCATTAAAATAACTCTGGCCATGCCCAAACATAATTTGGCCCGGAATTATGAAACAGTTTTTAAGCAGTTAAACGACTCGGTGTTTATTTTTCACATGCATGCACATGTGCGGATCCAATCAAATTACTTGATTTTTTGAAAATAATGCATTCGCACAGATGCGGGTACATAAAAAATAAATTAAAATTTTTTTTTTTCGGCGAATTTTGTTCACTTTATTTTAGGAATTAAACAGAATTTTCTATATTGACAATGTATTAATTACAGTTTGTAATGTTTCAACCAAAAGTAAAACTCACCCAGTTTTACTTCGCAGTTCCACTTGTGGTTAGAGCAAACTTATGTGCAATCTGTCTAGCAAAGATTGGCCTCCTCTAAAGGTTTAAAACTTTCTTTTAACTTTTTTTTTTCAGAATCCTTAGATGGTTGTTGCTTAGATGGTTGTTGCTTACTACATCAAGATTTCTGCCTTACAATAGAATGCTACCAAACTGATGACATTTTTTGATAGGAAAAAAAAAAAAAAAAAAAAAAGTAATAAATAATAAGAAAAAAGAGAAGTAAATAGAATAAAAATTAATACATTAAAGAATATAGATACTTATACTAAGAAGTAAAAATTTATAATAAAAATTTAAAAGAAACTATCACTAGAAAGAAAAAACTTGCTAACTAAGTAAAAACTTCTAATTATACAAAACAATGGTTTACTATTTAATATGAAAATCTTGATGAAAAAAGTAAAAGAAGATATATACACTAAGATCTGTATATAGAACTTAAAAATTATATATATATAATTCTGTGATTTTTGCATATTTTGTATTTTATCACTTTTGTTAATTCTTTAATTAAATCTATAATTAAATCCAAAGTATCAGAAAAAAACTTTATATAGTTTAGACTATTAATCAACTTAGATTATTTTACTTATATATTTTCTTCAGAATATCTCTTTTATGTTAAATATAATAAAATAGAGGCTTCCACCCATTATACTTGAATAAAAACCCCTATACCAAAGAGGCTAGTTAATAAAAAAAAAATAAAAAAAAATAATAATAATAATAAAATAGAGGGTTATATTTTTGTTTACTTAATTATTATTGAAAGCTACTTATTTAAGTCTATTTTTAAAAAGCCTATATTTCTGACAAAGTATATCTGGATTAATACAAGACTTTCTTTTTTTACATATTATTATATTTCTTATTCATTATGCTATAATATAATCTTTTTTGTTATAAAAGTAGTAAACAATGCTAATTTTTTAGAGAAGGCTTGCCAAATTTTATACTTTTTGTCAAAAAAATTAAAAATTTTAGAGTAGTAAGAGAAAAAAATTTTTAATTATATTTGCAAATGTCTAAGACAGAGAGTATATTTTTAGTTATTCTTCTTAATATTAAAAGGTTTTAATACTTGGATTATACAAAGTTTTTTACTATTATTACTGTTATCAAAATACCTTTTTGGCTTAAATGATAAATATATAAGAGAGTCTGCTAGCAAAAAAGCTTAATTCAAAGTACAAACTAGCCTTCTATATCTGTTTTTAAGTATTTTATATAAAAGCTTTTATTGACAACAGCATTGCTTTACTAAAATCTCAAGTATCTTAAAACTTTTTAGGTCTTGAATCTTTAATCTGCTTTTGATACAGTCTTGGTTCAAGTAATTATTAGAAAAAGTTAATTAACTTAAATTTTATATTATACAAAATTTTTTTTATAATTATATTTTTAATTTTAAAAATTTGGTATGTTATAGAAAATTTTTATAAAGAAGATATATAATATTGTGTAGTGACTTAGAGTAGTAGTTAAATTGTCACCTCAAGCAGCAGGTCTAGAGTTTGAATCTCACTAGAGACGTTTTTAAAAAAATAGGCCTGTGTACCAGTAACAATTATTTGACGATCAGTTAGGTATATTACCTATAATTTTGGTACTACCATCTCGAAATAGAAGCTCTTAGGTGATCCAAATCAAAGAAACCAGAATAATTAAAACTCGTTTGACAAGACTCGAGTAAGAAGGTAGTGAAGATCTTTGACAATACTGCAGAAAAGCCGGAAACCAAAGACTGAAGAACCGGACGAAAACCTTGGAGTAAGAAGGGTCTACCAATCTGGCTACCAGAGTCACACCAGAGGAAAAGGTCCTATGCTATGGAATTAGAAACCAAGGAAAGTAAAACTGGAAGGCACTTAAAGCCTAGGTACAACAACCTATCCGGGTTAACTGATTTGGTAGTTAGGGAGAGATCGGTATAAGAACCGGTTTGATGTGGGTATTAGGATTGGAACAAACCTTGCAAGGACACCGAATACTGAAATCATGTAGTTTAATGGTTCGCCCTGACTGCTAGTAGTGGTTTTGGCTGCTGCAAAAGGTATTTGTAGCCTAATCTGGAAGTGTGTGAGATATAAAAAGATTAGAGAGTATATACTACATCCTTCCTAGACAACCTGATAATATGAGAACTCTACTAGGTTTTCGATAGAATTAGGGCATAAGTAGTATAGCAGATATCGATTTGGATGATCTTTAATAAGAAGCAGCATAAGGTTATGTGCTAGTGTGATTGTAGAGGACAGAGGACATCAGAGAGTTTAAATGAGTAATTCAAATAATAGTGGGTTACAGATATAGCATCTAGTATAGACCCTAGTAATAGGTAGCTACTTAATTAGATACTCAAAAGATGCAGATATGGCTAGAATATATTCTCGTTAACTAATAATATACTATTTAAAATATCTAATAAAAATCTGTCTTTATGCGATATTGCGAAGATTAAAAAAAAAATATATATATATATTAAAAAAAAATAAATACTTTAGAACTTTAATTAAATATATCAATAAGAAGTTACCTATACTTCAGATACTAATACAAAGATGTCTAGACTTGTATCAAGATTTGAATTACATAATATATAATAAAAAAGTCAAAGAAGATCAAGATCATCTAACAAGTTACAAAGAACAAAAAAATAACTAAAAAATTGCAAAAAAACTAGCAACAAATATAGTATAGATATTCTTTTTAGAGGAAACCTAAAAGAAAACAAGCAAAGACCTATTAGAAGAAACTTTCTGATAAAAGTCAAAAAAACAATTTTCTAAAATAAAGATGAAAGTAATTAAAAAACTAATATAAAAAAACAAAGCAAAAAGGATACACTTTATAATCAAGAAAAGAAGCCAAATCTTACATCAAACTCACTATAAATACAGTTTAAAACTGTTTTTATGAAAATATATAAACAAGAAGATGTGAAACAATATAAAAAAAAAAATTAGTAGAAGTATTACAACTAAAAAAAATATAATAGAAGATTAACAAAAAAGAAAAAAAAGTCATACTTAAGTATAGTCAAATCACAAAAAAGAAGTTCAAAGAATAAAATTAATATAAAGAAATTGAAAAGAAAATATTAGATTAAAAGAAGAAAAGAGAAAGATAAAAAATAGATAATTTAATAGCTTTAGAAAATAATTCAAAATAGTTGCAAACCTATTTGATATAGTTTATACAGCTAATTTAGTATTAGTTTTCTAGTTATAAAACAAATTTCAAACTAATATAGCTAATCATATTTGGGCATCTATAAAATATTAGGCCTAAATATTAAGCAAAATATTATATAATCTATTTATATAATAATCTTAATAAAAAATTACTAAAGATTAAATATATATATATATAAGATGTTTATTTATATTTTAAAAGTATTATATAAGTTAGTTTAAAATTTTATATAATTATAAGCAAATATAATTATAAAGAAGATAATTATAAAGAGTTTTAACTATATTTGTTTTTTTAAATTCAACAGTCTTGTCTTATTATTTTATTAGAAGTACTAGAAAATTAATATTAACAAGTTAAATACAACTTTCTATACTATATTTTTATACTAATAAGATTTACTCAATAATACCCAAATGCAACTTTATCTAATAGCAGTTAGCTTCATATTAAATTTTTAATTTTTTAAAAATTTGGTTTCTCTGATCATAAGTTATAGCAGTTGTCTGCTTTATTAAAGAGCTAAATAAAAGAAAGTCTAAACAAAAAAAAAAACAAAAATATAAAAAATATAATAAAACATATAAACAAAAAAAGAAAGAAGTAAGAAAATATTTAAAAAAAAGAAAAAATTTTGTCTATTCTAATATTATATTTATAAGCTTATAAAAGGCTTTTAAAGCACTTATCAATTCTTTTTGACAATCCTCTGATTAACAATAACAAAAACTAAACTACAAAAAAATGCTATAGAAATATTTAAGATAAA